GACACGGTGAAGTATGAGAGCGGGCCAGACGGCGGCGAGGAAGTGAGTATGAGCGTGGAATGGAACGGGGTAAGTACAGTACACAGCCCTCGGCACATTACTGAGAGTTCTCAAACCAGGGACACAAACATGCCGACTTGAAATACCTCCTCTATCTTTCTGGACTGAAGTCATCCACAAAGTCATTTTACTTGTTAAAGTTTCCTCAGCACAGAAACTATAATAAACACAGTTGTTAATGTAAATGCTAAAGTTTGGTCACATTGAGCTGGCTTGGATTGGATTATTTTATTTGTTGTCAATCAAGCCAACTGATGGTTCCCTATAAAGTTATAGTGAGAATGAGGGGCCACTGGAGGCCAGTGAGGGGATTATCTCTATAATTAGTGACTTCGGTCATGAAAGATACAGTGAGGTTGTTTCTTCGTCTATGACTAAATCAAATGTTTGAATGAGGACTTAAATCTTGTCCGACTAGCTCAAAAGGATCAAACTGTACAATGCTACACTGATAATCCTGACTGACAGTCACAGTTACTCTGCTCTCCCGCAGTAGTTACTGCTTGTGCGTCGCTGTTACCCTGACTTTGATTAATGAGATCAAGTGAAAAAATGCTCTGCTGGAGCATTCACTTGGCTGGAGCTTAAGTCGTTGGCAGTCGTTGAGTCGTAGCTCTTTGTATAGTTTAGTATAGTATAGTATTTTTCACTAAACTCTCTTTTGTTGTACAGCTTTTTCAACTAATGTCTAAAAAGCTTTAAAAACCCCTCTGGTCTCACACATTGATGCCACCTCGCTGCCTCAGCTGCAGACTGACTGTTCTCATTCAGCTGGTACATTTCAGAATATGCAGAATTTTCTCAGCCTGTCCTCACTGCAGTGGCAGAATATGTAGTTATAGGGTCGCTGTAGGCTGCTCACCACCTTATTTCTAAAATGCTGCTCCTGCTGCTGCTTAGAGCTGGCCTGCTCGCATAGCAACAGTAGTCATAGAGCCCAGAACAACCAATCAGCATCTCCTATTGCACCTCTAGTTGTAGTCCTTGCAGGCGGTATGGTGTGACACATAGCTGTGCCTATAAACTGTAGCCTGTCAATGGATTATTAGCACACAGCAGACGATCGCCTGCAGATGTCTGGACTTATTTATATCAGGAAAGGAGCCGGACTCATCTGGAAAGAACTTTAGCTGGAAGGAAAATCTGACAAGGAGCTTTTGTTTTGTCCTTAAATCTTCTTTGATCCAACAGTAAATGAAGTCAGTATAAATACAACGATCAATCAATCAATCAATCAATCAATCAACTATCGGCCTTTAATTGAATTTGAAGTCACACTTTATTGATCCCAAGAGGGAGCTTTCACAGCTTCTACACCAGCACATTTACACAGCCTACGAGTTAGAGAGGATTTACAAAAGTAAATGGAACTTAAATATATAAAGAACTAGAATTTGGAAAAGCACTACGCAAGATTCCAGTAGAAGTATTATTTTGGAAATACTGGGTGTATCCAGTTATTTTCATACACTATTTGTGTATTATTAGCATGCACTTATCTTCTTTTCAAATCTCTACAATAGCAACATCATTCTGCATCATTAAAATGCTGTAATTCCTTTGTATTGCATTTGTATACTATCGGATGCAATTGGCTCATATTTCTAATATTAGATGGATAAAAACAGATATGTCTGGGGATGTTTATCCTCCACTGCTTCCCTGCAGTTGTCAGAGTACATTTTGTTTTTCGTCCTGTCAAACAAATCATCACTTCCACTTCAGCTCTCTCCACAGGCAGCTGTGAAAACCTCTCTCTTCTCACTTAATACAAATGAGTCTGTGACTCATCAGTCTGTTCTGACTCAACATGGGCTCTGTACTGTACTCCTTCTTTGTTGATGTTGGTGATCTGCATGTGTGTATGTGTTTATGTTTCTGATCGTTGCATACGTGTGCTGATCTGCTGCCAGAGAATGTAAAGTGTGACTTTGCCAGCCTTTTGTTCTTTTCCATTTGTTTGCCTTGTTAGCTGCCAGAGAAGATGGGAGAGTTCAGACTGAATAAATGATCAATTCTGATTATCATTAGGTTGACTTGTGTTGCTGCTCCCAGCTATTTTAGTTCATTTTCTGGGATGAAGATAAAAACCACAAAACTAAACATTTAGTTCTGTTACAAAAAAAGTTGATCTTTCTGGCTACTCTCACGTGTCTCTTTACCTGCACCCCTCTGTTTATTTTGTGGTCACCTAACAAGGTTTAACTTTGCTGATATGTGTTGATGAGCTATGTTCCAGACACAGCGTCTCTCTCCACCCGATTGAGCTGTGTAAGTGCTCCACCTAGTGGCAGAGCCTGCCAGTTGTCCTGCACTCTCACAGCTGTGATAGGTTTAGGTGTCCATTCATAATACTTCTGGAATACATGAGATATGATTCCACAACCGTGTTTTTGTTTGTTTGTTTCTTTGTGTAAATTCACACAAAACACAAACCTTAGAAAGTTTGAAGCTTGGTCTCTCTGCTTTCTTTTTTTTCTTTTCTTCAGATTCTCATACAAGCTTGATGTTTCAGCCTGCCTTTAGCGCATATAATTAGATTTTTTTTTAAATTAAAAATCTAATTGAACCTGGTGGTGTGGCCTCTGCAGCTCACCTCCTGAAACCAGACGTGTGAATATTCCTGTTTTATAAATGTAGTTTTTTTTATGCCATGTGACTGCTGACATTAAAGTTAATTTACATAATTCTTCAAAATAGCTGCCCAAAGAAAAGGCCAGGGGCGCTACCAAATGGTTACACAGTTGTGAGTTACATTTACAAACAGCTAATTTCATGGTAAAAATATAAATCACCCTAATAACCACACAGAGCATTCACCCTGACATTATCTGTCTGCTGCCTTAGTTTAGTTTGTTGGGTTTTAGAGGTTTGGGCCTGAGAGTGGACGAGACCCAGGGCCATCTGGAACAAGCTGTGGAAAATGGCCGATGGCCTTGGAGAAGGAATATAATGCGGTCTGGATGGTTTTGTTCTCCCACAAACTAGAGGCTGGAACAGAAGTGTTATTGTAGTTCAGTGCCCCGATTGCACAACCATTATTCTGTTAAAATGATCTTATCCTACCTCATATTTCTGAAAATACAGAAGTATTATTATTTATCTCTTCATTTTTATCTCCTGCTGTGAGTCCTGTGATTTAGAATGAACAGATTTCATTTTAAAATGACTACTTAGAGCAATAGACAACATCCAGGGTTTCCCAGGATTTCCCCATGTAAAGTTGGATTGTTGTGAAAATAAAACTGCACATAAAAAATGTTTTATTGCTGCTTTTATGAGAATCTCTATAACACAGAGGTTAGTGACGCAAACACTAGTGGTTACCAATCACGCTGATGTGAGACACAGATCTCCTGTTTTTAACAGTTTTTTGAGCTCTTTTCCCAAATCAGAATATTAAAATAATTGCTTCTGCTCAAATTATGTCACTGTAATGACTGTAACTTAAAGCCCACCCATACTGTGTTGGCTGTACAGTACAGTGTTGGGTTTGTTGTATAATAATTTATTGATCTCTGTCTTCCATGTGTTGCACTGGCGGGTGGAGAGACGCTTTGTCTGGTTTGTCTGTTAACCTCTCAGTCTTTGTCCTGTATGCTTCCCTCCTTTCTTCACCCTTCTTTAATTGCTCCTCTGTATCCATATCTCATCTTACTGTCTTTTCCCCTCTCTTTTACTGTTTGCATTTGCTTCTTTCTCTCTTCAATCTGCTCTGTCTGACCGGCAGGCGTAACTCCAGATGCCTTGTAGTGGTTCTAAAAATTGTCTTCTGCATGACGGATGCCTCGCCTCACCTCGCCTCAGCCCCTTCAGCTTTGCAGTTTTCCTTCAGCTCTTTTCTGTGGCGGGATTCTTCACACCGGGTTCAACCACAGCGATAATGTTGCTTTTACACCCCAATCTCAGTTGTTTTTGGGAACAGGAACTGTGTGAAAATGGTTCTGGCAGAAATACGGAGACAGCTTGTGTGTCCGAATCCAACCCTCTGCTTTCTACTTGTGCTAAAGCACCTACTGCTGCGGGCGGGAGAGGACTGGGGTGATTTTTCTTTATGGCAACAGTAAACTTGTGCTTCATACCTTGATATTTCTCCTTGTCCTTTAACTCTGCTCCTCTGCTTCCTCTCTTTCTGTCACTCTCCTATCTTTAAAATGTGCTTTCGTTTTGCTTGTAGACTTGTTTTTGGAGGAACTTTGAGGGGTGTTTGACACAAAGTTCCTGAACTGAACTCTTCTTTAACTAAAATTATGAACTTTCTTATTTGGTACAAATCTGACCACAAGATCAATTAAAGTTTCATCATTAAAATTTCATGTCATTAAAATCAAAGCAAAAAGTGGATGACCAAAAGAGATGACCAAATATGTGCTCATGTGCTATATTTAGTTTTAAAGTGGAGCAAGATTTTGGTCAGAACTTTTCTTTGTGATTAAAAAGAGATCAATGAAGTGTTGCTGAACAGGTCCATTGATTTTAAAGGCCAGGGTCACGCAGAATGACTGCAAAATGTAACAAGAATGTGCGTGTTTGTATCCAGTGGATCTTTATCTTAAACAGTGAACCAAACTAAACAGCAAAACGGGGGGAAAAGCAGTAGCAGTGCCGCTGTGCAACAAATTGTAAACTGTGTTTGAGGTCTAAAAATGACAGATTGTGGTTTAAAAAAAACACAGGAAAAACAACAACTTCCTGCTGTGTGAACATGGTGCAAACCCAGGTGCAAATGATTGATTTAAACCTCAAACTTCATTAGGCTAAAAAAATTAAAACATTTCAACACTACAATACTGGCAAAGGCATGCACAGGAGCAAAAGTGATGACATTTTGTTGATGTCGTGGTCAGATGAGCCAAAAACAACAAAATAAAAAAAGGTCTGAGAAGGCTTGAGGTCCATGTTAAAGCCTCCTTCCTCCTCCTCTCTTTTTCTCTGTAGAGGTTAGAAGCTTCTCATCTCTCTTTTATCATCCGCGCAGTTTAATTCAACATTAGCTTTTAGAATCCGTAGTGATAACTGAAAACGTCTCATGTGGTAGTCACATAACACGCTGTAAAAAACATCGACTTTACTCGTCAGCATGATCAAGAGCACCGCTGATTGTGGCTCTGTAGGTTTGTGCTCCTGTTTAGAGTTTAGTCTTTGCTGTGTCACTCTGCTGTCTCATCGTTTGCACTGATATCAGACAAAAACATGTTGTGATGTCAATAAGAGGACACATAAAGGTGATTGGAGTTAATGTGCAGTGGGCTTACACGGTTAAGTCTCGGGGAGAAACGCTGCAACAGTTCAAGTTTTCCACTTGTCAGGTTGGGTCTTGAAAAAAGTGAAGCTTTTGGCCGATACAGAGCCTAAACCTTGTGTGTTCTCTCTGTTTACCTTCTGTATATCTGTGTATATAGTTGTCAGGGTTGGTGTGAGGGGGGGTGGGGGGTTACAGAGAATTTGCTGTATAAAAGCATTATTGTTGCATTTGCTGAAAGTTTAGGAATTTAATTAGTCTCCTCGTCGGTCTGATCTCACCTCCTGCTACTAATCTTCTGCGTGTGCTGTCCTGTTTGTGCATCTTTCTTAACTTCTAATAAAACTTAAACTCTTTGCTCACCTGAACCTGTGCCTGTCGCCTCTTTGTGTGTTCCTTCTCTTTTCTGTGTGTGTGTCATCATAACTGAGTGAGCTCTAAACCTGTCCTGCTCAGATACAGCAGCAGTGGAAGGAAGAACAATCACCATATCCACAGTCCAGTAAATTGAATCTTTTATGTCACTGTTTAAATCAGATAATGGATGTTCTGCAGATTTGAAAACTCAATTCTGAAAAAATGCATATTTAAATTTAATCTCCCAGAAGCTCCGAGGGTAGGTTTATGTCAGAAATCAATAGCATGTTATATTCTTCATTTGATTTCTGAGGTATGTTTGGGTGATGCTTAACTGTCTCTCCAGCTAGTTACAGATCAACTTTTTTTCCATATTTTAGGTGCGCTCTAGTTTTTAAAGGTAAAAGTCACGTTGATGTGAAAAATTCACCAATTCAGAATTGGTTCTGAAAAGCTACCTCCATGACTACTTTGACAACTCATGGCAGTAACAGCTTTTAAACTTTGACATACTTTTTTTAAATAAAAAAAAACAAACCGATCAAAAGTTTAAGCAAACATTAAAAATCATTGGAACTAGTTAATTCATATTTTGGATCAGTTTGTCGATTATTATTGTAATTTATTTCTACATTTTTACAAAAATAAATGGAGTTCTGCCAGGAAGTAACTGACCTATTTTGGCTTCACCACTCTGATCCTACCATGTTGCTGGATATGATGACAATGGTTAACGGCAAAATTTAAGGCATCCAAGTTGGAAAAAATATGAAATTGTGTTTTAAAAAAAATCTATGTATAGCCTTTTGAGTCGCTCTCTCCCACACAAGACGCTGCCCTATTCCTCAGTCAAACTTCTGATTCATTATTATTATTCAACAACACATGTTGAAAGGAAGTGGTGCAGGTGAGAAACTAGCAGGTCCAATAAAGTGCATCCAGTTTAACAGTCAGAGGTCAAAGCTGTGCTGAGACTGAATCAGGGGTGGGCAAGTCCAGGCCTCGAGGCCCGGTGTCCCTGCAGGTTTTAGATGTGTCCTTGATCCAACACAGCTGACTCAAATGGCTAAATTAGCTCCTCAACATGTCCTGAAGTTCTCCAGAGCAGCGGTCCCCAACCCCCGGGCCTCGGACCGGTACCGGTCCATGAGTCGTTTGGTACCGGGCCGCGAGAGTAGAGGCTCAGGTGTGAAATGTATGGTTTTCAGGGTTTTTTGTTATCGTTTTTATCATTAACTTTTCGTTTCCTGGGTCTTTTCACGTGTGTTATGAATAAATCTTCTTTTTTTCGGTACCGGTACTAGTTTTATTTTGTTGTATCTATCTGCGATACCTTAAAGGCCGGTGCGTGAAAATATTGTCGGGCATAAACCGGTCCGTGGCGCAAAAAAGGTTGGGGACCGCTGCTCCAGAGGCCTGGTAACAAACTAATCATGTGATTCAGGTGTGTTGACCCATGGTGAGATCTAAAACCTGCAGGACACCGGCCCTCGAGGCCTGGACTTGCCCACCCCTGGACTAAATGAAGATGAAATGTCAGAGGTGTTATCTTTCTCACACTAAAGATCTCTTCATGTAATGTAATTTTTGATTTTGGGGCCATCTATAGCCATATAGCTGACACCGTAAAAATGGTTCCACTAAATTATGCAGTGTGACTTCTCCAGAGCCACTCTGTGTAGCCTTTCACACTTGAAAAGATGAGAATAATGTATAACAGAATACACCAGCTGATGGTGCCAAAGTTTAGGTGTAGAAGTCTCTCAGAATGAGATGCAGTGTAACAAAATAAATACAGTCTTGTTTAGTGCACGGAGCATCATTTTGAAGTACAAGCCACACCTGACGCATTAAGCATCTTTACTGGTTTGTATTGAGTGTGCTGCTTTACTGCATCATGTAAGCACATGAAATTTTGCACGAGACAAGCAAATGCAGTCCAGTACAGCAGCTCAAGATGCTAATTGTAATACAAACAGACTAATGATTACAAGGTGTGTAAAACTAAATGTAGCAGAGCTGCTCTATTGGACTCCTTTAAATCACAGAGTGATCTACTGAGTGTTTGTGTGAATATATTAGCATATACCAGTGTGCAGATAGGGTGTGAGTATGTGTAGCCTAGATTGGACAGTTTTAATCACTGCAAATATTAAGTCATGTCAGTAGTAAGATGCACAGACTTGTCTTGATTAAATCACAGTAGCAGAAAATGTGTTTGAAGCAGTAGTGAGAGTGTACGCTGGTTTGATGCTAATCTACATTCTGTGTCTGCACTCTTCTAAATATGTTGGATAGCGGTGTGTATGAGTGACTCTGTGACGTGTCCCACCAGGATGGCTCCGGCTCTCTGAAGAGGAGCGGATCCTTCAGTAAACTACGAGCGTCAATCCGCCGCAGCAGCGAGAAACTCGTTCGCAAGCTGAAAGGCGGCGGCTCGTCCCGAGACAGCGAGCCCAAAAACCCCGGGTAACTATCAACTCCACCCAGACACCTGCCCCACCCCGCTACAGGTTGACTCACCCTTTGCACTGGAGGCCTGGAGGATCAAGCCGGCCCTCCATCATGCAGCACGGCAGTTGGTGTACTAACCAAAAACAAAGAAGGGATTCATTGTACTTTGCTGGTGGTGAAGTGGTGGAAAGCTGTGTTTGCACATGGAGCGATGGAGGAGCTTTTTCTGGCACATACGCATCAGCTTTTTTTCCCATTGCATTTGTTTACGCTGCGATGCATTCAACCTTTTCTTTACAGTTCATGGTTTGGTCATTGGCAACAGTAGGCGCTTTGTTTCCTTTATGTAAGGAAATATTACATAAAAAAGAGACAGTATTTTAAGAAAATGCAGAATTATAGTAAGTGTATGATTTATATTTTTAAAATTTTAAAACATAAGTGTTATTTCATGGGGAGAAATCCATGACTTACAGAAAAGGTATGTATTTAAAAAAAAAATTAAAATATTAAGAGGAAAAAATATATCTTGTGAAAAATGTCATATTTTTATTAAAAAAAAGTTTTAATGTTCTGCATTAAGAGATAAAGGAAAAGTATTAATATGTTAAGAAAAAACATTTTTATGTCATAAAATGGTCTAATATTTGAAGAAATGTAGTATTTCAAACTTATCTAAACAGTTGACAGAGTCGAAACAACAGACATGTTTTTATACTCGCCACATGTCCAAAAACAATCCAGCTAAACATTTACATTGGTGATTTGTGCCTGACATCTCACGCAGGCTTCATGACAACTGAATATTTGCATACTTGCACAGGTGTAAACAAGGGCTTCCATTTTTGGCGGAAGGAGTTGGAATACACACACCTGACTGTTGTTTGGCACAGTGGAGTCTAAAGTCTGGCTGTGGACCACAGTTATTCACAGTGTACTTGCTGCTGGGGTTAAAATGTATTCTGTTAAACCGTCACATAAACAGTTCTTCATCTGAACGACTTCCACTATCAGGAAGTGATTTCACTTTCAAACATCAACTTAGTTCAACACTAGCTTGCAAAAACCACCACCGCTTATTTACTCCCCCACTGAAAAGTGTAGTTTACGCTCTGTTTGCTTCACGTGACAGGAAGCTTGAAAATTATGTGGAATTTGAAAGCGACTGGAGGTGAAGGTCAGAATGGGTTTACGTATATTTTATTACTGCATTCAGAACAACAAGGTGATGACATGAATAACTTCAGACATTTAAATGTCGAATGTATAACAGAGTATAAAAGTTGCACTTTTTCTTTCTTTGAATCTCTGAATAATGCTTTTAGAACACCTCTGTTGTCCTGACCAAACCTGAACTTTGTTAAACGAGAGAACCAAAGGGAACTAACTGATGAAATGGGAAAATAATACTGGCATTCACATGCTATGACAGGACATGTGAAAGAGCATTTGCAATGAGACATAAACTACTAATGTCTGCTTTTGAACTGCCTTTATGCTTGTTATGCTGGCGGGATTTGTTTGTTTGTTTGTTCGTATGTTTGTTTGTTTTAACCACTAATAGTTACACCTATTTATTGCATTTTGTGGCTTTGGATTGTTTTCTTTTTTTCTCAACTGAAATACTTTTGAGTTTCATGTAGCTTTGGAATTTTATTTTCTTCACTTTCTTTGAATTTTATTTTGAAAAGCAACCTGTCTGCATGGCTCTTCCTGTGTAGAGTACCATGTTGATTTGATTTTATTTATGAATAAATGTTTTTTCCTTCCATTTGAATGCCTACTTGCATGCTTCATCTGTGTGCTCTCTTTTTTCCTTTTTCCTCTTTTCTGTGGCTCATGAGGATGATGGACATGACAACCATCATGTCCATCATCACTATGACTGATAGGTTCTCAGTAAATCACTGCAGAAATGTCCATGCTAACTGCTGTACAGTGTTTAACTAAATTCTTTAAAAAACAATTGCAAGTTTTTAGTTTGTACAAAAAAAATGGAGCAAAAGACAAAACTGAGGATGTTGCAATTTCATGATATTCATCGAGAGAGTATCTGAAGGTTCACAGTGGGGTATTTTCTGTTGTGCTATGACTTGCTACCTTGCATAGGGAGACCTTGAGAAACAGTGTAATGTGTTATGCCTGCAGCTGGTCATATCTTTATGAAGGTCAGCTGCTCCTCAGGCTCTGTCCATACTAGTGCAGGAAAGCTAGACTAGACTAGACGTATAGCTATCTGTTGAAACATATACAATGACTGCTGACTTGAGATGACACATGCTACACTGCAGCAGTAGTTATGGCTGTGCTTTGGTTCTCACAATTCCAGCTGTTACACATCTGTCATAGAAGTGTTGCAAATTCAGACAGACTTACAGCAGAGCGTTTCTGCAGCACCGTCACCCTGCAACACAGCGAGCTTCAGTCAGTCAGGCAAAGCAGGTACAGCTGTGCTCACAACCAGCACTAGCTTACAGTCAGAAAACAGATGTATTAGCATTAAATGCACATCATCAGTGTATTCAGACAAAATGAAGGTTATCAGAACTCAAGTGCTCCATAGATGCTTTGACCAGTATTCTGTTCATTCCCAGTATATTTCTCATAAAAGTGAATTTTTCTCTCTGCCAGTCTTACTGTAGAGGTGTAGAAGATCTTGAGAGTAACACATTTTGTGCATTTTGACCTAAACAAAGTTTTGACAATGGCAGCTTAAATAAAGACAGGAAACAAGGGGTGGGAGAAATTGGTATGACTGGCAACAAAGTGAAGGAGCTCATACTGGTGAGTTAAGGATATTGCATAGAAATAATAGGCAAAATACATTCAGCACCCACTGGCACACGTACGCACACACAACAACCCACACTTTACACACACTTTGTCTGAGCTTGTTTTAGTGTTCTGGCAATTTTACTTATTTAAAAGCTTCTGCGCTGACTACATTTTTTATTTCCCGCCTACCATTTCCCGTAAATTCCCATTAACTAGTTTATGGATCCAGTATCTCACTGTTTTATGATCAACCATGTGCTGATCTTATTACATTTCTCATCAGGATGGATTTTTTTCTGCAGTGTAACTGTACTGAAACCAGGTTTTGCGTGTGTGTGTGCATGGACTTTATTGAGTGCAAATTTCAGTCTACACCACTCATCAATTAAAAGAATGTTCGACTATATCCTTAAATATGTTACCACTTTCTTATAGGGGAAGGCTGTCTAAAAAATTTGTACGGTGTAGATCACGTATAAAGAAATATTGAATTTAAGTTTCAGTTGCCAGATTTAAAAAGACTTCTCTGACAGCAGAGTTTATCCAGCCATCAAACTTCATAATGTATTTTTAAGTTTCAGTTGAAGCATAAATTAAAGTTGACCTACAATTTTTTATATATATATATATATATATGAAATAGCTCAACTAAACAATCTAGAAATTATTCTTATTGCAGATCTTTGCTCAAAGGTCACAGGTCATCTGAAGTGGTTTGATTATTGAAGTTGTCTTGCTGATGAGGGTTAAATACAAGGCAAGAAATCTCTCACAACCTGGCAACCAAAAATTAATTCCGATGGCAAATAAGTTAAATTTCGATAAAGCATGAAAACATGCAATAACATTTTAGAATGTTACTAATTACTATTACTGTAACAAATTAACAGCAAATTAGTTGTAACATTACTCAGGTGAACTTTGGGGAAAGTGGTAACAGATTTTACACTCAGCCTTCTAACATTCATGAACGGGAAAACACGATACATGTGACATAAACGTTTCTGTGAAACTAATCAGAGTGTGAAAATACTACAAATGTCGTTAACCAACACATACACTGAGCTCAAATCCTCACACCTGAATCTCCACCCCCTCCCCCTCACTTCTGACCCTTAACCCCACCTCCCTGCATGTGGGTGCAGCATGAAGCGAGCCAGCTCTATGGGGATACTTAACGTGGCGGACAAGGCTGCAAATGACCACTACCAAGTAAGCAACAAGACACGAGTGCAAAAGTATCTGCAGAGGGTTTTTGGTCCTGCTGCAGGCCAGGGGCAAAACCACAATCAAAGGACTGCAGCTGGATCCCTAAACAAGTTCTTATAAATGATAAGAAATATCTCAAGGAGGCTTTTTCTTTAGAAAATAGTTAATCTGCTTTCGGTTAATCTGCTTTCGGTCTTCCAGGGAGTAATTTTAATACATATTTGACTTTTTAAAATTTCAATAAAAATATTTTTTGTCATCTTCCCTCATTTGGAAATTGTGCATTACTATTTCAAGACAAAATAAGCCCACTGATGACATTAAATTAACAAATATCCAAAGATGTAACCACAGATTTATGTTATTATGTTGTAGGGCAAACCAGTCTCTTAAATGATAAGAACCATTGGCAGATACTTTTTGACTCAAGTCTTTTATTTCATATTCTGATTTGTCACGTCTTTATAAACTGTTATTATCAAACCCTCCCCAAGGCTCTTATCATTCACTGTAGATGGTGATAAATCTGACATGGCTAACATCATTGTCTGTTTCACTAACAGTGTTTGATGTTCAATCAAATTTTTAGTAAGTTTGTTATTTTTTTTACACATTGTTTTTACAACTTCAATTCTTTATTCTAACAGTGAAAAAGTGATACATTATATCCATAATTTCCTTTAGAATATATGTACACCAAGACCCGATGATGCAGGTCGAATTAGTAAACATGTCACCCATTTGAAACTTATAAGTTTAACCTTTAACTGTCATTTTCATTAAAGGTACTTTTGTAATTTTTCTCAGACTGCAATTGTAAAAAGGAATGTGTTTTTAATTACTTAGTATCATAAGAAAGTACAGCCTTGCCCTATTATAATTTCAGATAATAACTCTTGTTATTTTATGATCTGTTAAAAGCTTTATGTATTTCTGAAAGTTTTTTATTATATCAAAAAAAAAACCAAATATGTACGGGACCCAATTTTTTGCTCTAACTATAATGAAAAACATTCACTTTCCTGTGTTCTCCATCTGATTTCTGCTTGTTTAATTCCCTCTAGGAACGAAATAATTGTCTGAGAAAAAGCCGTGACCTGAGTGCCAGCCACACTAACCTGGCGCGTTGAAGGTTTTTCACTCTGAGGAGGTGAAAGGTCACAGAGAACTGAACTGAACCTCTGACCACCCTCGATGTAAATAGCTGTTTGTGAAAGCTTGACATCTCCCGTATTCTACTTCAGCATCCTCCCATCATGTGCTAACTATACAGATTTTAGTCTTTCATTGCACTCTTGAAGGTTTATGATCTCAGATGGTAATTTGTGGTATGTATTTATATCAGTACATATCAGGAGGGGGGTGGGCTGCTGTATGTTTCCTTGTTCCAGTCTAATTCTATGTGCATGTACTGTATGTAAGTGTGTGCTGTTGTGAGTGGCTGCCCTCTCAGATTACAGTTTAATTTTTTTGTTTTTTCCTATACTAGTGGTGGTAAAAGCAGGCGCAGAGCGGAGTTTTAATTTTAAAATCATTTCTAATGTGAGGCTAAAAACTGCAGTGGATGAAGCCAGTAGGCAGTCTTAAATGACAGAGAGGAGCTCAGTCATTGTTTAGCTATACCCTAACAATAACTATAACAGTGATTTAAATATCGCTACTGCTAAATTTGCTGCTATGGTAGGAGTAAACGGCAACCTCTGGACCTGGAAAGGGTCAGTGAGGGACCAACACCCACAATTCATCATCCAAATCAACTAAATCTCCATAACCACCCATTTTATGAAAAGCCCAGCTTCACAGCAGAGACAAGCGTGTTTTGGTCTTTATAGATCATCTCTATCTGCATGCAGCTTCAAAGAGTGCATGTTTTCTATATATATAAAAGTTACCTGTTCACTCTTTCTAAGGTTTAAACCTATGCATAGCAAAAACCCCCAAAAAGATTTAAAAGTGGATACAATTGAATCTTATTTAAAGTTGTTTTGTTTGAGCCTGTTTTTGCTAGCATCTCTTTTGAAATGACCACTAGCCAGCTGTCTAGCTTTATCTGATCATTTTCCAGGTGTGCCGTTTTTTACCCAAGTATGTTTTGAAAAAGGAAAATAGAAGATTGTGAAGGACAGAATGCTGAACCCGAGGCTTCACAGCCATAGTCAGCAAACCAGTCGTTTAAATCACTATCGCTATGTTCATCTTTTAGATAAAGCTGCACTGAATTTCACTTTACTTTGCAAAAAGCTTTCAGATGCTTCATTAATGATTTGCTGCTCTGCTGAAACATGTTTGTCTTCACTGGTACCGATCATTAAAACAACAAAGACCTACGATTTAGCTCATGAATCACAGTGTTGATGATTTGACACCATTTTCTTTATATTTGGTTGTGTGCTGAATTCTAACTCTGCCAATAAGAACAGTTCTACTTCCTAAGACTCTTCACTCTTTGTTCTGCGGATTTCCAAATGAAGTTGTGCACAGGGTGTAGATTAGTTGAGAAAATCTCCTGATGTGTATGAATCTCAGCAGCTGTAGTTCACAAAAACATGGAAACCTGTCCAGGGATCTTTCAGCTGCCTCTTCCTAAAAATGATCCGTCCTGTGTTGATTGATTGAATATTTAGCTTTTGATGTGTGAAGTTCCATGTTTACATGATTTGGGGTTTGTAAATTATGTTTTTATTTGTTTCTGTCTTTGCGCTGTTTCTTTTTATATCGTTCTGTAATAAGTCTTGAGAGCAGGATCCGTGAATTGACTAGCACGCGAAGGCTGGCCCGCACACTCTCAGGACTGAGGCTGTACTTCCACACTGACTACAAACTTAATGTCACTCCAGACTTTTTAAGTAATGACGGGAGAAATGTTTGCAGGACTTTCAATGACGAGACAAAACTTTGCCATGTGAGTGAAGTTGAACCAAAAAGTGGAAAAAAGTTTAATGTACATTTTTTGAAGTGATTTAAATTTCCAGTTAAATATAGAGCTATCCAACATAATCCTGGTATGAATACTAAAGGACTTATCATTAAAAAAAATTTAAACAATTTCTGTTTTTAAATGTACGAGTTGACTTGTGATTGTTCTAAGAGTTCATCTCAAGATTAAACGTTTCCTTTTACTGCCCTTTTGATAACTTTATGTTAAATGAAGGTAACTATGCGTACATGCTCACTTCTTTAAAAGGAAGCTACATAATATTTAGCATATTTAATGTCCTTTACTGGTGGTAAGCTTGAACTGAAAGAACATACAGCAGGTTAAATGATGATGAAGTGCCTTGTTTAAGAGATTCCCAGAGATGGGATATTTTGTGTGGAGAGTCTCTTCTGTTTGAGCTGGGCTGTGTATTTACATTTCTTTTCATTTCAGACACACATGAATGCGCATGATGTCCATTTATGGAGAAGTACGCTGCTACAAAATATATTTTCTATATAGATTGAAGTTATGGAAATAATGAAAATCAAAAATGCCCATGCAATAGACTGCAGCTGAGTCCATTTGTTTATACTGCCTTAGGCATATAGATACATTATAGATGTATATTTTTACAGGAACACAGAAGCCTGAAATGTTAGAATTTTGTCTAAACGCACCTAAACAGCCTTACCAACTGCACGACCTTTGTGTGCATGTCTTCGAATTTAAAGTCTTTAAATTAGATTCGAGCAAAGATTATACAGACTAGATTAGAAGATTAGACATTTGGTGAGAGATCCTGAGCCAGCTTTTAACAATAACATTCAAGATTAAATTAAACGCAATGAACTTCACATTGGACAAATTCAGTACAATGTGATCTAGAAGAAGGCGTTACAGTAACATATATACAAAGATGCGCATACAAAGGATTGATGAGAAAAGCTCAAACAGATGAAACAGCACAAAAAAATAGAATAAAGCCTCCATATCAGCCTAGGGATGATCACAGTGGTCTGTTTAATAAATGCACTAATGATAGAGAAGTCTCCACAGATCAACCATAATCGGGTTTAACCGTCCATCTCCAAACAACCCTAGCACATTTGTAAATCTTTAGCATGAACATCTAGTTGAGAAGGATTTGCACTGGAAGCATCAGACTGACGTAAAGTAATAATGATGATCTCCCACCTTAAGCTGCATTGATTATTGTACTGATGTGTGACTAATGCATTTGCTGCATTGTACGTTGTCTCTGTTGTGTTTCCTGACTCTTACTTTTTTTTTTTTTTTGGCAGGGTTGTGCAATATGGTTCTGTTTTCATTTCTCTAATTTGTTGGGGGGTGAAAGCCCTCTTTACATCTCACAGATCAGACCTTTAACTTCAATAAAAATCGACACCTGACGAATTCATTCACATGAAGGTGTCCCAAACCATTATACTGTATTTGTCTTTTTTTATTATTATAATTATATTATTGGCAATATTATAATATTATTATTATAATATTTTATTAAATAATTTATTATTATTTTAATATTTTAACATTTTAAATTCAGCAATTTAAAAATAAATGCGACCTGATTTTTTATTAAACTTTACTGTTTTAATTGAGCGTAGCCAAAGATCAACCCACTGGAATTTGTTGTGCAATCGAGTCACTTTCGTTAAAAGTCGGGCATTAAGCTTTGTGCAAGATGTGGTTTTATTTTCAAAATTACTTTAAATTCAAGCAACTTAAAATTTTATATCATCGTTTGATCATTTCTTTGATTTCATATTAAAATGTCAGTATAGGAAACTGAAACCTTATTTGGTAACATACAGTTATAATAGTGGATGCTAATATTAAACATCAAGCAAAAGGTTCATATAATGAAGCCAGTCCCCCCTCTTCGCTTGGTGTAGTATAAGAGCGATATCTAGCTGGGAGCACAGGAGCCCCACCCACCTGCTGTTCAAACCTTCTATTTGCAAGGGGCAGCCAATCAGTAGAAGAGTCATGGCGGCTTGTTTTAGGTAGATGACTTTGCCCAGAGTGAAGTAAATGAAAACTGTGATCAAGAACAGGGAGTTTTGGGGAGAAAACGGACAACTGCTAGAGAAAGGACTGCTGTGAAAACACACGTAAGGAATAATATATTTTAAGACTACTTAAGCATAAACTGAGGAAGGCCCCTCGCTTGTATATTTATACAGCGTGAGCTAAATAATGTCGGTGATATAATGGATGTAGCCCCATCTTCCTGCACCAGTCCACAACAAAGTGCATCCAAAGTGTAGTCCCTTTTCTAAATCACGACTTAAAAACACATGTTTTTAAATGGAGCATGAAATTATTTTAAGCACACATAATAGCTCTGTAAACTCTGCCCAGGTCGTTGTTTAATTTGAAAAACTACTGTGCTCTGTGTCTTCTGTATAAAGTAAGTAAATGCTCCTGGCGTAACCAAAACTTACCTGTAGTCTTCTGCTAAGCTGGTAATCATCTTAATTACAATATCGTTAGAGAGTAATAATGTGTAACAGAACAGAAACTGATACTGTACTGTTGTTCAGCACAGCTCACCAAGTTATGCAGAAACCTGTTGGTGTTTTTTACTTTTTAGATCTGCCAAATCGTCTTTTATGTCCGCTCAAATTATGGCTGTCCAAAGTAAACTATATATATCTATAATTTTTTTCACAAATCATTATCTACCTTTCATGTACTAAATTTAGTGCTAGTTTTAACAACCCCGCATGTTTACTTATTCTTCCATGACCGGTTAATATGTTTACTTTATTTTTAATGGGAGGGGCTGCAGAAACCAAAACACTCAACTTTGCCGAGAAACACGTGATCTCAAATCTGTGCTCTGATTCGCTAAACAGCCTGTCAATCATCCTGAAGGGTGTGCCCAGATGAGAGTTTTGTGGTCGAAGGAGACTCCGCTGAACACAGAGGAGAAACACACGCTGAAGGAAAATGTCTTCAGTTCCTGACGGGAAGAAACTCATCCGTAGTTCCAGCGGCCTTCGCATGGTTCCGGAAAACGGCGCCTTTAGCAGTCCTTTCTCTCTGGACGAGCCGCAGTGGGTCCCGGACAAAGAGGTGAGACAAGCGTCGGATTTGGTTTGACAGCGACAAGCGATCACAGCCGTGCAAACACAAGAAGCTTAACTAAGGCTTTCCGGTTGTAGTTTCCAAAATAAAATCACCTCTCTGTTAAACTAGTGGGAATAAAATTGAAGCCGCTTACTAATGCTTGTGTTTGTCCTGCTAGTCTCCTGTCGTTTAAAAAGCAAAGTGCTCCAATAAAGTAAGAGTCTAGTGGTAGCTTTAGCTGTAGTTTTGATGATATTGTATTTTATTCATTGTAGTACAACTTGAGAAAAAAAATTTTTAGTGCGCTGTTTTGTTTTGTTTTGTTTTGTTTTGTTTTTATAATCCTGACAGCAAAGTCACTGGACTATTTTCAAAAGGAAAATACAAAGAAACATCCAAAATTAACAAATATTTACATTTTACATTAGAATACTGATTGTTTGGGCCTTTAAAATGTAAGACCCTGTTTCAACTTATCAGTGATAATCACATGGTGTTTAAATAGCTGCTTTTATTTGAACGATAGTTCAAGGACATATATATTTATCAAAGCGCATGGGCGTAGTAAATATTTCTTTTTAATTTTTTTTATTGTTATTTCATACAATCAGTGCTTTTCAGATTAATTTGCGTATTTATTCTGATCCAGTACAGATGGTCACTATATGATGAACCTATGCATCTTGAAAAATACAGAAACGGTATAATGACAGATTCAAAATAGAAATATTTAAAAATAATAAATGCACAGTTGATAATGATAATCTAAGATGCATCTATCCGATCCTTTAATGTTGTTAACTTTAATAAGTCAGTTTTTAGAACAGTAGGTCTAAATATGTCTATTAAATTATTAAAAACAACACATCTTATCTGTTGCTGTAATATTTCTAAATGTTTCTTTGCTCATCCATTGGTTAATTGTTTGGTTTAAAAGTCGTGACTGGGTGGGTTATACTATCACACCTAAAAACTACAGCTGGACTCTAAATTCAAACTCTAGTCTTTCGGTGTCCCTGTCGTGCGCTGTGATAGGCTTTTATTTTTTGTAGTGAAACGGCTCTACATCCGGCTTACATCCTGCTGACTGCGGCGAGCTTGACGGCGCTCCGGACATCGCAGTTGGCCGCTGGATTGGGCGTTGCAGGCTGTCACGGCCAGCCTGGCAGCAAACGGAGCTTGTTAGCTAGTTAACAGCTACAACTAGCGGCAAACTTAATTGTAGCGTTTGTCCGCGTCAGAGTGACGAAACCCCTCTGGTTGTGTGCGTGTTTGACTACCATCACGTAGGTTAGCTAACCAGCAGTAGGAGCTAGCCCTTCGTGCCTCGAAGGCTGTAGTTTTACTGCACTGGCAGTGCAGTAAAACTACAGGAGGACACACAAAGACTGTCTGTCTGTGAAAATGTAAACTCTGGCTGCACACAGGGACACTTTGACCAGACTGGCAAAGTTAATCATTTACTATTTGCTGACCTCAGCCTTCAGTTCTCTAATAAGAGGAGCAGGAATTAAAAACAAGCCTGGCACTAATTATAAACCCATATCTTCTGATCTGCCAGTGATAAATCACAAGTTTGACGGTTTAATGAACAGTTACCACTTGTCAGTAATGACCATAAGACACAAGAGCCATTAACACATACTATTTTTATACCGTTATTATTTACACATACAGCTGCAGATCTATTGCGGCTTGACTAGCTGCTGATACTTGTGCAAAACTTTAAAGCAGTACTTTAACCGAAAGCTGTCCAGCTCAGCATGTTGTGTAACGTCCTGTTTTTTCCACTCTTCCCGTCTTTCAGTGCCCCAGATGTATGCAGTGCGACACCAAGTTCGACTTCATCAAAAGAAAGGTCTGTTTTGTTTCTGACAATGCGAACGCTGCAGAAAATCTCGACTTCCTGTCAGACTGGAAAAACATATGGTGGACAAACCAGCGTCTAGTATAAATGTTTTGTTAAAAAATGTGAGGCTTTCGTTTCGTTTGTGTTGTGAATGTTTAGATGAGTTACTCCTTCTTGGATCATTTAGTCAGAGCCGTGTGTTGATATTTCCTGCCATGCTTTAAGCCTCCTGCCACCATTTCATTTTACATCTGTTGAGTTAAAATAATCACCCTTACAAGTGTCTTCCATATTTGCCTCTTTTGCCAGCTCTAGACTGCTGACTGAAGTCAGTTTCTAGGTGTTGAATTACACACGTCCTGTACTCGGCATCCCTCACGTCTTGGTTATCTTGAGGTTTTAGCACAGTTTTGATATTTTTAAGCTTCCCGATTCTTTAAAAGTGCAGTGAAGCAGATGTGGTTTTGCTTTGCCTCAGTCTCTTGTACTCTTGTTGAGAAGTGTTTCGTCATCAGCTCGAAGTCTCTGATTCAAAAGCACATTCTGTCCAAAACTGACACACGTACTCAATCAGAGTGCAACAGAAACCCACCAGCACAGAGGTGGATCCCTCAGGAAATCAAGGGCTTCTATTTATTTGTTATCCAGGCCTCAGAGGTCTCAACATTCGATGTAGGCAAGCCAAAAAATTTGGGAACTAATGTAACACATGACTCACCAAAATCAGTGATGTGGAAATTTACAGGAAATTGCTCTGATAATAGAAAAAAATGCTCATTAATAGACGTAACAACTTCATACCATTAAAGTCTGCACAATATCCATTATACATGTTATAATAAACTTTGTTTATTAATTAGTAGTGGGATCTGTTACCATACAAATTAATACAGGAGCGAATGTGTTCCACTGCAGTCAAACTAGAATATAAATAATATAATACTAGAATAAAACAAGGAAAGTGGACTCTTCTAAATTGTTTAGAAACTGTTATTTGAAACCTTTAAACACATTTTATGCTAAAAACTTTAGAGTATCTATAAGGATATCCTCCATAGTAGTTTAATTGCCGGGGCGATCGTGGCTCAAGAGTTGGGAGTTCGCCTTGTAATCGGAAGGTTGCCGGTTCGAGCCCCGGCTTGGACAGTCCCGGTCGTTGTGTCCTTGGGCAAGACACTTCACCCGTTGCCTACTGGTGGTGGTCAGAGGGCAGCCTCGCCTCTGACAGTACACCCCAGGGTGGCTGTGGCTACAATGTAGCTTGCCATCACCAGTGTGTGAATGTGTGTGTGTGGATGGGTGAATGACTGGATGTGTAAAGCGCTATACAAATACAGGCCATTTACCATTTAAAGTTACATAAAAAAAGTTGTCCTATTATCATGTATAGTAATTTGCAGATAATGTCTTTTGTTTCCATTTAAAAAAGAAAGTGGGAGAAGTGCTGTGTCCTCATCAGAAATGAAATCATATCTACTTGTTTTGTTTAAAAGAATATCTACTGTATAGCTGTACTGTGACTGAGAGTGAGTCAGGCACACAGTTGGGGGTGTAATAGGAGTTCTGATGGAAACGGTGCTGTATCTCAGCCAGATTGTTTTGAGATTTCCCGAGAACGTCTAAAGTGCCAAACACAGACATCCTAACCCTGACAATCGGCCAGGCAATCAGACTGTCTTGTGTTGTCTCCCACAGCACCACTGCCGGCGGTGCGGCCGGTGTTTCTGTGATAAATGCTGCAGTAAGAAAGTGGCGCTGCAACGCATGTGTTTTGTTGATCCGGTGCGGCAGTGCGCCGAGTGCAGCCTGGTCTCCCAGAAAGAGATGGAGTTTTACGACAAGCAGCTCAAAGTGCTTCTGGGAGGTGAGGACTCGCTCTCATACTGGGTTTTGTTTTCCTGTAATCATGCTTCGACACATTGACTCCATGCAGAAAGCCGGAATATGATCAAAGTAATTTCTGAATTAATCTTATCAGTCCCTTCCTGGTAATCCTGTTGATTGTGGGACAGTGTGCAGCTATAAATACACAGCAACAGTGTGGCTCCTTATCAAGAATCCATCAGCAGCCTGGAGTGTAGAGGAACAGCCGGCTGCATGTTTGGAGTTTGTGTGTGTTTGTATCAAAGGCTCAGTATGAAGGAAAGAAAGCGATAAAGATGAAGAGCTCGAGCAGCAAACACTGCCATACTTTGATTTCTCCTCCTGTTTGATAAATGAGCCACTGACTTGGAAACAGTCCTCAGGTTTTCACTCTCCACTCTCGTGATGTCTTTGTTAGTGTCTGAAATGTGTTTATGTCCGCTGTAACAGGAGGCACCTTCGTTGTCACTTTGGGAACGTCGGAGAAGTCTGAAACCATGACGTGTCGCCTCTCCAACAATCACAGGTTAGCTCTTCTTTAAGTCCGCACATACTTGACATACCAAATATTTACTTTACCTGAATTACAAAAAGCTACCTGTCACATCTGGCCATGTTGTTTTCTTCCCTTCTATGAAATGTCTCCGTCTGCAAATTAGGCTGCCAGCTGAACAGGATCAAATCTGTCCGACTCAGTCTTAGGAAACATAAATAACATCTGTACACAACAAATAAGTGCCTCAGTTTTAACAGTTGTTCTCGAGGGGGGGAAAGGGGAACGCATTTGAATAACAGGGACACTTTGACCAGACTGGCAAAGTTAAT